GTCTTTTATGACACACTAGAGTTTTTTTTTTTTTTTTTTTTGGCAGTACCAGGAATGGAACCCAGAGGCTCACGCATGCTCAGCACGGGCTCCATCAGTGAGCCACTCCTCAGGCCCAGGAAAGGTCAGAGAACAGTGCAACAGACTCCCATTTACCCTTCACCGGGATTCAATCCTACTTATTTTCATACCTTAGGATCCCAGTGCCCAGACCCCACTGGATGCCACCAAGTCCCTCTAGGAGTCGCTCCAGGAACACCGCAAGGGACAGAACTGAGCAAAACACAGCGTGGTGGGCCACCTTCTTGTAACCAAAGCGACAGGGTGGAAGGAACACTGAAAGCAACGGCAGGAAGGAAGTAGAGAACCCAGAGTGGACACAGACTACCCGGGGCACACAGTCACTCTGCCAGCTGGGGCTTTATCTTCTTAATTTTTGCTTGATATTTATTTATTTATTTATTCATTCATTCATACTGGAAATTGAATCCAAAGTCACTTAACCCACTGAGCGGCATCCCCAGCCCTTTTTACTTTTTATTTAGAGACAGAGTCTTGCTAAGTTGCTCAGGGTCTCACTAAATTGCTGAGATTGGCCTTGAACTTGTGATCCTCCTGCCTCAACCTCCGGAGCGGCTGGGATTACAGGCATGTGCCACTGTGCCTGGCTTGGTTTATTTTAAGTAGGAAGAGAAACAGACAAATTATCAAGAGCCCAGATGAATATAACACAGGGACAAAAGAGACCAGACACACTACACTGACTGTGTACTTGCTAATTCATCCGTCACCCATTCTGCAGTTTGGGGTTATTTGGACAAGCTAGGCTAGATTTCATCTTGCCGTTATTAATTCTTGGAGAAAGTTTGCTGAGCAAATTAACAGTATAAACAGGAGAAATGTTGACTTATTTGTTCTGGGGGGGGGGGGGGGCCAAAACAAAGGATCAACTTTCAAGTCCTTTCTAATTACACTGATGAGCTGAACTTTTGCCTAATTATTATGTTCTTCACCAACTGAGTTGGTTTTTTTTTTTTCCTAAACCATCTCACTGGAGAGAATTTGACTTTCTTACAAAGGGTGAACATTTTCATAGGCTTAAGACTCACACACACTGCCAATTACTTTTATGCAAATAAGCAATATCAAACATGGAGTTTTCTCCTAAACAAAGAGTGAGCTCATTACAAAGATGATTATTTGCTCAAGCGCTTCATCAGAAGCACCTCCCTCTTCTGTCAGCAGTTTGGAAGTCCTAACTTTTGCAGATAATGACACCATCTGCTCCCTCTAGGAATGTTTTCTTGTGCGCCACACTGGTTTACAAGTGCCTTATTGCATTATTTCACCGAGTCCACAAAACATCATCTATTTCACAGAAAGGAAAACTGAGGCTCAGAAAGGTCAAAGTTCATAGCCTCAAAGTCAAAGGGGAAATGTAAAGAGCTATGGTAAAAAAAAAACAAAGAAACCAGCACTGGTGACTTGCAGAACAAACCAAATAGTCCAATTTGGGGATACTTGTTAGACATTTAAGTGAGTTTAGGATATAAGCATCTTTCTGACACCGACACACTTGGCTTATCTAATTGGCTAGAATCACAATTCACTAAGGCCCGTATCGGTATAACCAATAGATATGTGCCTATAAAAAGTATGCATAAATCAATGTTTCAAAAGTTAGAATGGAAAATTGGATTTTTTGATGGTTAAATCTAATCTTAAGGTAATTTTTTTTTTTTTTTTTTTTTGGAGGGGGTATTGGGAATTGAACCCAGGGTAGTTAACCACTAAGCCACATCCCTCACTAAGTTGCTTAACACCTCACTAAGTTGCTAAGGCTGCCTTTGAACTTGGGATCCTCCTGTCTCAACCTCCTGAGCAACTGGAATTACAGGTATGAGTCACTGGGAATTCCAGGCATGTGCCACTATGTCCACCTAGGGTAAATTCTTTCTTAGAATAAATGATTCCTTTTTGTAGCCAATCAGAAAAGGAACAGATTCCTCCATGGGTCTAAAATAATGTTCCAGGAGGGCAGAGGTGGTGACAAGTAGAAGCAATAAAACAGGTTTCTTGGAAATGTTCGGTAGCAATGTTCCCCAATGTGTGTTCCAAAGGTCTTGGGAGGAGGAGGATTCATATAGACCAGACCATTCTCATCGTAATGTGAAGACTTTTTCTCTCTGTTGACATCTGTACTCATAAGGCAATGCAAGGGGGGTAAAACTGCTTGTGGCCTGAACCAATTCAGTGGTGCCCAACTGTATCAGTAGCGACACTAATAGTTTATTAGTATTATATACTTCACTGATGCATGCTCTCAAAAAAACAAACAAAAAAAATCTTCTCCACTTCAGAATATCCTGAAACAGTTAATAATCTCAACCCATGAGTACACATCTTTTTTTAAAAAAGGATTGGATATATTTTATTTTATTTTATTTTATTGAGTTGTTGATGGGCCTTTATTTATTTATTTATTTATATGTTGTGCTGAACTCGAACCCAGGGCCTCACACCTGCCAGGCAAGTGCTCTACCACTGAGCCACAACTCAAGCCTGAGTGCACATCATTTTAATATTCTGTGTGAAAAAAAGGAAGCACACATAAACCAGTTTTGCTACAAGCCAAGAACAATGGTTGGTCTCAGAAAATGCCTATTCAATTTCTTGAACTGTCAGATGAACAACCACATTTTGTATGGTATGTCATTTCTACTCAAATGAACAACAGAGAACTTGTAGTTCTCCAGACCTAGATGTTTTGCCGTCATCTGCTCAAATACAAATGAAGTGAGGCTATCACTTCAAGAAAACAACTGACAATATATTTGGTGCCAATGATAAAATTCAAGCTTTCAAGTGGAAAACTTGTTTCTATTACCTTGCCAGCTTAATAGCTTCCCAACACTTACATTTATTTTAAAATGACATAGGTGGTGATACTAAGGAACGTGAGGTATTGATACTGGAAATTACCAATGTCAACACTTGGAATATTTGCATAACTTATTAACAAGACAAATGGATAATGTTATAAAATCATATAGGGGTAAAACAGCTAGTCAAAGGTCAAGAGAGGCTAATGGATTTTAATGCAATTGAGTACCGAAATTCACTCACATAGTTTCAGATACCATTCTGTGACTGACCTTTAACAAGCCACCATTTGCTGAGTTTGGTGTAGTCATAAGAGTATCTACAGTTACCCAAAAGGAAATTGAAATATTCCTTCCTATTCCAGTTATACAGCAATATGACACCAGTTCTTTATATACATTGGTCAAAACAGCATGATTGTTATTAGGAAACAGTTCAGATCTTGAAGCATAAATGAGTCTACTGTTTTCTATTAAGCCAGACATGGAAGACAATTGAGAAAATGTAAAACAAGGCCACTCTTCCTACTAATTATTTGGGGTAGGGGGCAGAAATATAGTTATTTTTCACTAAATACATATTTATGCTTGGATGTAATTGGCTTATTGTTATTTTCTTTCTTTTTGCTGGGAATTGAACCCATGGTGCTTATACACTAAGCCTTGTCCCCCGCCCTTTTTTTTTTTTTTTTTAATTTTGAGACAGGGTCTTGCTAAGTTGCTCAGGGCTGGTTTGAACTTGCAATCCTCCTGCCTCAGCCTCCCAAGCTGCTGAGATTACATATGCTACTATTGTTATTTTCAAATGAAATGATAAGTGTTTTAAGAATTTTCCAGCTTTAACTTCTAATATGGTAAATATTGTAGATATAATAGACACAAAGATCTTTTCAGAGAAGAGCATAAAAGTATCTTGAGATCTAAAAGGTTTGAGAACTGTTGTTCTTTTAGCAACATCACACTGACCTTTCCACAGGGTAAGCTGGTAAGACATTTTTATGGTACTGCTGAAGCCCAAAGGGCAAAGATATCTATCTACTAAGCACATGATGGAATGCTCAATTAAAAACATTTTTTTTTTCTGCACTGCATTCAGAGGCTATCAATGGGATGCAAATTCTCCAGAATGGGCCAGTGGTGTAGTTAAGAAAAATGATCTAGGTTCTAGCAGATCCTGCCATTCTCCCTAGACATTAGTCTCCCCATCTGGAAAATGAGAAATCAGAGTAACTTATTTCCAGATGGCTTCCGAAATCAGTACCACGATTTCCATCAGGGTGCTTCTGGACTTCAGACTGACTGGCTGTCATGATTTTTTGAGAAGCACCCAAGAAGACATTTGGCTATAGTTGAATGAGCAGCTCCCCTTTCAGATGGGGAAACTGATTTTCAGTCACAGTCCCATTCCAGCCCAACTGAACTTGACTCTGCAGACATTCGCATCGGCAACCTCTGGATAAAGAATCCCTAAAAACACGTCTAAATCTCAGGCCCCCTAATTCAGCTCCAGAGACAATGCCTCACTGTTTCTGTCACTCGGTGTCTGTTTGACTTTGGGCAAAGTTACTTAACTTTTCTTGGCCCCAGTTTCCTTCTCTGTGAACGGAGCAACACTAACCTCAAAGGATGGCTGCGAAGTTTGGCCAAGCGTTGCGTTTACAGAGTTCCTAGCACCAGACAGGACTCTGTGAATGGGGGCTGCTACAATCAACGCCAAAGCACAGAAGAGGGACATTCCTGATCTCCCCAGATTTCCCGCACCAGCTCCCTTCTCCGAGCGCACTCGGCAGGATTACCCTTCCCTCCGTCCCAATTCCCAGATCCCGCAATGCCACCCTCCACCTCTCCTTTCCCACCGTAATTCCCTTCTCTGGGCCCCGGCCAGGGTCGAGGTCCCCCACGACCACGGCTTGGCACTGGGCCAGACCACTGACCACGCCCCCCGCCTTTCCTCCCCATGCCGGACCACTAAGCCCTGCTTTCCCTCTGCCTGGAGAACATCCCGGGTCGGGAAGTGGTGATCCAGGGGGGTTACGGCCTAGTATTCGGCGCAGGGAAGACTCGGGAGGCCTTAAAGAATAACCGCCCGACCTCCCGGAGGGGCCCACGAACACTCACCGTCCATCCCTAGAGGCGGCGGTTCCGGGTGTTCGAACCGGAAGCGGCCCCTACACTGTTTGCAGTTCCCCTGGTTACTGCGGGGTTCCGGACCAATGGCGGCGGAGCTCCACTCACTGAACCCGCCTCCGAGGGGAGTGACGTCACGTCGGCGTGCTGGAACTCCTCCTCCAATCTCCCGGTCCGACCCCCCTCCCGCGGATCGCTGTGCGCAGGCGCGCTGGACCAGGGGCCTCGGCGGCTGGGTGCGCAGGCGCTTTGGGCGCCGCCGATTCAAGCAGCCATGGACGCGTTAGAGTCCTTGTTGGACGAAGTGGCCCTCGAGGGGCTGGATGGCTTGTGTCTGCCCGCACTGTGGAGCCGTCTGGAATCCCGAGTGCCTCCCTTCCCGCTGCCGTTGGAGCCCTACACGCAGGAGTTTCTGTGGCGGGCCCTGGCCACGCACCCGGGCATCAGCTTCTACGAGGAGCCGCGGGAGCGACCCGACCTCCAGCTCCAGGACCGGTCAGCGGCCGGGCCCGCGGGCGCGCGCGCGCGCAGCCGGGGTCTGATGGAGCTGGGAGCGGGGCGGGAAAGCGGTGGGAGCCAGAGGAGGACCTGGCGTCCGACGACGGGAGGGGCGGGAGCGCGGCGGGAGGCTGGTTTGGTTTTGTGGTTTGTGTTTTTTTGTTTGGGTGCTGGGCATCGAACCCAGGCCTTGGGCATGCCAGGCAAGCCCTCTACCAACCGAGCCATAGCCCCAGCCCGGGAAGGCTGCTTTGAGGTCCTCGAGGCTGGCAGGGCCCAGGAGTCTGATGAAGTTTGGGAGTCATCAGTGGTGCCCCATTGTGTGTGTTTGGGGGTGCTGGGGAGTCGGTGTTATTCTTCAGGCTGAGGATATTTCCTTTATATTGGATGCTAGGTTTGGAGCAGGAAGGCAGTTCAGAGCAAGACTGAAGACATGGGGGTCCACAGACAGACCTTTATGGAGAGTTCACTCAGTGTCAGTCTGGAGAGCTCAGGCATAGCAGCGAGCTTAGCAGGAATACCCATAGCTGCCGGGTATTAGGTGCTTGCCTTAAGTGCCATTCTAAGAGCCTCAGGAAATTGAGCTCCTTGATCCTCACTATGATCCTACGAGTAGGTGCTGCTGTCTTCCTCATTTTACAGAAAAGGAAATTGAGTCACAGAGGTTAAATGACCTGTCCAAGATTCGGGGCAGGGGGCCACTAAGTGACTAAGTATTGATTTGAACCCAGGCCACCTGTCTTTGAAATCTGTGCTCTTAAGTCATATTGTTGAGGTCAGGAAGGTTCCCGGGGTAATAATGTCCAAGACGGGACTTAAAGGTTGGGCTTAGGCCACCAGTTGGCAATGGGGTGGTCTGGAAGAACAACAAACGTGAAAGTGTGATAGAAGAGAAATAGGCAAAGTTTGGCCCAAGTCTAGAATCAGAAGTATAGAACATCAGTTGGTGCACATACATACACGCTTCTTATTATGAGCTGGAACTGTTCTAAGTTGTTTACATGTAGCAGGTTTTAATTTTCATAAAAACACAAGAAGGTGGGCATTATTATCCCCATTTTCTGAAGAGAAAGTTGAGGCACAGAGGGTTTGAGTGAATTGCTGAAGGTCATCAACTTGCAAGAACAGATTCTAGAATTTGAACCAGAAAATCTGGATCAAAAATTCACTCTCCTTCTAATCAAATTTAACTGACAGGTAATCGGTAATTATTTCATCCACTTAAAAGAGTTTATCTTTTATCAAAAACACTATAGGAAGCCGGGTGCGGTGCCACACACCTATAATCCCAGTGGCTTAGGAGGCTGAGCCAGCCTCAGCAAAAGCAAGGCACTAAGCAACTCAATGAGACCTGTCTCTAAATAAAGTACAAAAATAAGGCTGAGGATGTGGCTTGGTGGCCTAGTGCTCCTGAGTTCAATCTCTGGTACTGTCCCCACTCCTCAAAAAAAAACCAACAAAAACACAATAGGAAACCAATGAAGGGTGGGTCAGACCAGAAGCAAAGAGTGAATCTGATTGGTAGTGATCTAGTTGTGATCAGCCAGTGTTGGGCTGATGATATAATGGGGGATGGAGAAGAGATGGTGAGGGCTGGGGATGTGGCTCAAGCGGTAGCGCGCTCGCCTGGCATGCATGCGGCCCAGGTTCGATCCTCAGCACCAGATACGAAAAAGATGTTGTGTCCACCAATAACTAAAAAATAAATATTAAAAAAAATTCTCTCTCTCTCTCCCACTCTTCTCTCTTAAAAAAAAAAAAGGAGAAGAGATGGTGAATTGGAGACAACTAGTCAAAAGAACCAAGAGAATTTGGTGACTGGATGTAAAGTGTAGGGAAAGATAAGTGCCAAGGACAGTGACCCTGGTGCCTGGGGAAGGGGATCAGTATTCACTCGGGTACCTGAACAGCAGGCTGCAGGGTCACTGTCCTTGGCGCAGTCGTTGGCTGAGTCTGGTAGAGGGGGAACGTGCGGAGCATACTTTTGAGAGGCACTGGGTTTGAGCTCCCTTCGGGTTGTCCAAGCGAAGATTCTGTTTAATAAACATCTGGCTTCCTGGGAGTGAAAGCAGGCCAGAGGGAGGGGCCGAAAGGCATCTGAGTCATCCCTGTAGTTAGCAATTAGAGCTGTTGGCTAAGCACAGCGTTAGAAGAGAGGGTGTTGTGACTGGAGGTTCAGACAAGCCCTGAGCTGCGTGTGCATTTCAGGACAGGATGGAGGATGCAGAACCTTCACAAGAAGATCTAAGTGTGGCTGGAGAGGTCGGGGACAGGGCAGAGTGACATGCTGGAGGCTGTGGAGAAGACAGACATGATTTGAGAAGGGAGGGCTAACAGTGCAGAAGTCGCAGGACAGGCGAGGAAGACGCAAGGTGAAGCCGCACATGGGCTTTTGCCTCAGGCCAGTGCAGAATGTGAGTGGGCTCCAGAGGAAACCCTGCCTGACCCACGGGGCTGGCAGGTTAGGGAGAAAAGAAGGGTGTCTCATGGGATTGGTAAGGGGCAGCTGGGAGCTGGTAATAGCAAGGAGGGGCTCGTCTCGGGGTGAGGCCTCAATAGCTTTCTGATCTCATGGAATTTGAGATGTTTTTAGATGTTGAAGACATTGAATTAGTGTTTAGGGGGAAATAAGCTGGACTGAGGATTCAGGGGTGAGCCTTGTTAAGGCACACGTGATAATCACCACCGTAATCACAGATGGGGAGACCAGAGAGATAATTAAAGGGAGATGAAAAGATGGCAGAGGAGGGTTGGGGCTGTGGCTCAGCAGTACAGCGCTCACCTAGCATGTGCGAGGCCCTGGGTTCGATCCTCAGCACCCCATAAAAATAAATAAAGATATTGAGTCTAACTACAACTAAAAAATAAATATAAAAAAAAAAAGATGACAGAGGAGGAGGACCTTGAATTGGTCAGGCCACACTTAGTGGTCTGGAGACTAAGCGCTGAATTTGGAGGGAAAGCAGAGGCCATGACTCGTGTCAGGAGGTGGTTTGGGTCCTAGCGCCCACCTTCTGGGGTGGTTGGGGGATCTGGAAAGATCGTGTTCTCTAGGATACACAGGGGAACCTGCCCATCAAGACTGTCTGCATTTGTGGGCAGAGGCTGAGCCGTCTCCTCTGGTCCCTGCTAGGGGGTGGCAGAAGAGCACACTAGTTGTACCTTATTTCTGAGGCTAAGTGGGGTTTGGTATTTGTGCTTTATCTTCAGGTATGAAGAGATCGACCTAGAAACTGGGATTTTGGAGTCCAGGAGGGACCCAGTCCCCTTGGAGGATGTCTACCCCATCCACATGATCTTGGAGAATAAAGATGGCATCCAGGGCTCGTGCCGGTACTTTAAGGAAAGGAAAAACATCACCAATAGCATCAGGACTAAGTGTCTGCAGCCTCGGTGTACCATGGTGGAGGCCTTCGGCAGGTGAGTTCCTGGGGGTCAGCTGTCTGCATCACTTGGCTCTGGGCAGAGCCTCCAGGTCTCTTGCTAGCTCGGCACTGAGGCAGTCCCCATCCTTCTCCCTCCTGTGGGACAATGGCGGTGGCCCTGACCGAGGCTGTGGTCTGGACTCTCCTCCTCCCTCCCCGACCCCTGAGCCCAGCTCCTGTGCCCTCCGCCACCCGTCTCTTAGCTTCTCCTGGGGTTTCTGCTCAGCATAGTGACATGGCTCAGCTGCTCTGGACGCTAGGTCCTCTGTGATAGCCATCCCCAGGTCCTGAGTCAGGCGTCCTGGAGGACACAGCTTTAATCGCTGCTTCTGCTTTCCCCCCCCCCTCCCTTTTTTTGGTGCTGGGGATTGAACCCAGGGGCACTTACCTGCTGAGCCACATCCCGGCCTCTTTCCGTATTTCATTTGGGGACAGGGTCTGGCTCAGTTGCCTGGGGCCTTCACTAAGGTGCTGGCTTTGAACTCGCCATCCTCCTGCCTCTGCTTCCTGAGCCACTGGGGTCACAGACGTGCCTACCTCTTCACCTCCACCTCGCTCCTCTGCCCAAACAGACCCGATCCCGCCTTCGTCACTTCATCACAGTGGGGTCCCCTAGGCAGTTAGCAAGCCCCTCAGCACTGCTGGGCCCTTGAGGAGAGGACAGCACCAGGGCTCCAGAGCTTTGCCCTGTGGCTTCCTCCCTGTGTCTTTCCACGTTCTCGTGGCCTCTCACCAGCTTCTTTGTGAGCTCCCCTGCCCTCACCCAGGCTCCATCTCTTCCCCAGGCCTGTCGAGGGCCATGTGTGTCCTGTCAGTGGCCCGTCCCTCATGTCCATGTGGTCCTCAGTCTCCTGCCCCAGACCTGCTTCTCTTGCTCTCTTTCTCTCTCTATTCTGGTCGAGGTGCCCCATGCCCCACACAGTACAAGGGGCTCTTCCTGGGCCCTTTCTCCTGACGTCTACATTCAGGTGGCCACCACGTCCTCCTGACTTGACCTTCTATAGTTTTCTCAAGCCTCCTTTGGCCTCCAGCTAATGCAGTGGTCTCCCCTCTCTGCGGGGGCCACCTCTCCTTTTGTCCTGAGATGGAAATGTGACGGCTGGTTCTCT